ACAGGTTTTTGTATTGTGCAAACTCTTCAAAGGAAACAGGTGGAAGTAAAACGATTTCGGGTGAAAATTTACCTGCACACAGTCACTACATAGATTTAAGTACATCTCAAGCAGGTTGGCATAAGCATAGATATTGGGATTGGTCAGCAATGACAAAAGGTAAAGGATATGATGTTAAAGACAACGTTAAGTTTGCTATAAATTGTTACTGGAGTAACACTGAGGGAGGAGGAAACCATACACATCGCGTTTCAGGATATACACAAACAACGGGACAAAGTAAAGAATACATGCCACCTTACATGACAGTTTACGCATGGTATAGAAATGCTTAGTCGTCATTTTCAACTTCTTTAGCATATTCGTCAGGAGTTGTCTTATATTTGTTAGGAACTGTCTTTGAAAGTATACCACCTTGAACTTTGACAAGTTTGAAACGAGGTCTGACAATAGTAGTTTTATCTTCTGCTTGCAGTCTGTACATTTTACCATGTTTGCCTAAAACTTCATAGTATTCTCTTGTATACTTTCTTCTATTTTTACGAACACGAATGTGAGTACCTGTCGGGTTCCCATTGTTGTCATAGTCAATAGTATTTTCATATGGGTCGCGTTTAGGTATTTCTATTTTTACTTTGTCACCTTTCTGAAGTTTGAAGCCCGGCATTCTTTCTTGTTTGTCTCTTTTGACTAAATTATTAAATATATAGTCTTTCTCTAAGTCAGGGTTGTTTTTTCATTTCTTCGGGGGAGTGGTTTCCCAAACCTTTTTGTTTACGTTATTGTAAATATTTAAAACTTGTCTCATCTTTGCCATGGAGAAGTGTCTATATTTGTCGTCATATGACATTTCATTTGCTTCACCACCTTGTGGTTGGTTTAAGTCTCTTAACATTTTTATACATCCGTCAATGACACCAAGAGCAGAATGGTTTTGGTCGACAATGAAATATTGGTTTTACATTTTTTGAACGCAGATAGTTTTTTTACATCATCTGATTTGAAAGAACTTTCACAGTCAGATGTCAGTTTTGTTGGATGGTATTTGTCAACGAATATTGTCAAAGCAGTTTTCACATCTAAAATTTTTTGGACTGTAATGGTATGGCTTCACAGTATCTTGTGTTTTTGACCAACAAATATTAACCAGTATGGTGGTCCATCTTCTCTATACCTCGGAATGTTTTCCAAGATATCCATAAACCAAGCATTTGGTGTTGAACTAAAGATTTTTTATCATGAGTGCTTTCTTTTGTCGCTTTAGAAACATAGGGGTCCTTGTTTGGATTCGTCATTTTTTATCCTATAAGAAATGGGTTTATTTGGGCATTAGCAGGAGTTGCATCCAGATTTTTGCCCGCAGTGGGAACAATAGCTAGAGGTGCATTTTGAATTGGAAGGAAGATTTTGAGTACATTAGGTATACTTAAAGAGAAAGCACAACCTATTATAGCAAACTGTACAGAAAGGTTGGGAGGTAGCACGAGATGCAACAAATCTTATTCCAAATCCTGAAACAAGAGGAAAAGTTTCAAGGATGGATGGACAATGTAGGAAGACAAGCAGGAAACTATTATAACAAAGCAAATGACTACTATAACCAAGCAGGACACTATATGGACCAAGGTGAAAGATTCTTTAACAGAGGATATAACCATGCACAACAATGGGTAAACAATAACCAACCTCAACTGCCTCAAACGTGGGGAATGTAAAGTTTTTTACTGAGATGAAATGAACAATGCAGCATTGAGACAAATAAGTTCAAGATGGATTTGTCGGCTTCCAGCAGTTACACCACGTGTTTGTCAAGTTCTTCCTATACCTCAGGAAGTTTTAGACCGACTTAAAAAAACCTAAACAACCAGTTGAAAACAAACCAAACTAAAATTTTTTACTGAGATGAAATGACCGAAGAAGTTGAAACGGTAGATTTGACACCACAAACAAAAAGTTCAGAACCATTGTCAAAACCTGTCAAAGAACTTACAGATGAAGAGAAAAATTCAATAATAGAAAGTGCCAGGTCTGGAAATACAAACCCTAACTACAAAGTCACTTTTCATAAAAATGGAACGGCTAGTATCTCAAAAAGAAAACAGACTCTCACAAATAAAATATTGAAGTCTGAAGGAGCTTTCGAGACAACAGATGGAAAAGTTTACTTCACTGACCAACAGTTCATTATAGAACATCTCATTGACTTAGAGTCGAATATTCTAAACTTTACAACAAACACAAAAAGTTGAAAGGAAAACAAAAACAAATGGCATATGATATTTATGAAGATGTTGACGACACAACTGTTCCTGCAAGTGAAGTAAAGTCAGAGGAACCGAAAAAGTGACGAAAAACCGATAGAAGAAGAAAAACCAAAAACTGAAGATAAACCAAAACCAAAGTTTAGTTTCCAAACTAAACCAAGTCAACCTTCATTAGCTGGTATGGGTTGGCGTCAAAGACTTATGGCAGCAGGTGGTTATGTAAAGTAAAGAAAAAAATATTTTTTTATTTTTATAAAAATGCCCCATATAGAATGGATAGAAAGTCTGCTAGAATAAAAGCAGAGTTACAAAGATATGGTTGGAGAGTTTTCGAAGAAGTTTAAATATAGAAGGGAAGACCCATAAAAGTCTATGACAAATTGTCTGGTCTTCGCTACGAAATGGATTTGGAAACAGCACGTGCCAATTATCCAAACAGACTAGAGAGGTTAGAAGAAGAAACGTCTTATGAACATGCCTTTCGATGTGTTAAACATTGCATGAAGTAAAAAATTTATTTTAAAAAAAATGACATTTTTTTATTTTATTTGAAATGTACGCTGAGTTTGTTGGAGAAGACCGTTGGGAAACTTGTTTTGTTAGATGAGAAATATGAAATGGCATACCATTTTAAAACAATATATTTTTACATATATTAAATGCTTCAGGTTGAAAAACAAAGAACAAAAGTAGCAGATACAAAACCGTTAGACTATATCTTTACAAATGCTGGTAGGAACTATTTCAGATGAAGAAATTTCATCCCGAGCATACAGGTTTGACTATCCAATTCGTTGGCTTCAAAGTCCTTCAGATGCAAAGGCAATAGCATTTAGAAGAGTTTTTTGTTTTCAAATAGAACTAACGCATTTATGTTCGCAGTATATTTTCATGGGCAGTATAAAGGTTCTGATGGTCTATATAGACAAATTTGACGAAAATGAGAATCTTTACAGTTCGTTCAGACGAAAGTCTTGAAAAAACTCTAAATGACTTTCAAACTCAAATGAACAAATATTATTGGGAATTTCAAGAAAAATACGACTCTTTACTAAATGGAACATACTATCTGAAACTAGAATATGAAAGATGAACTCCACCGTTTTCATTTCAAAAGATTGAAATTAAACCTCCAAGGATACAGAGTTTTTTATTTTGGAAAGTAGACAAACGTTCTTGGGCACAATTTCTTCGGTTTACTAAACCAGAACGAACCATTACCACCAAGATGGTCCATTTAAATTTATACTTCCACCAGCAGATTTGACAGTTTATAGAAACGTGTTTGACCCTCAAAATGTTATGTGTCATGCAAGTTTCAGTTCAAGCAACAATAGTTTTCTATGTATTGTAAGGACTTTTATGACTTTGCTTCTAAATTCTACGAACCACCTAGTAACAGTTTCTCTGACTTTCAAGTTTGGTTCACAACAAATGGTGTGCAACATATTATTCCATTGTACTATGACTTTTATCTCGAATTGTCTTTCATATATAACTACGGAAAAGTGCTGAAAAAGTATTGAAAAATAATGTTTATGTTAGCATGTTAGATCTAACACGTTTTCTAACACGTTTTCTCACCTCATGAATTTTCATGATTTCATCGTAAATGTTTTGTCAAGACTTCTTCGTAAATGATTTGTCAAACATGAACGTACATGCTTTGTCAAACATGAACGTACATGCTTTGTCAAGACTTCTTCATCGTAATGAGCGTAAATCAGACAAAAATATAATTTAGGGTAGAAGGTTAGATCTAACCTGTTTTCTAACCTCTTTTCTCACCTCTTGAATTTTCATGAATTTCATCGTACATGCTTTGTCAAACATGAACGTACATGCTTTGTCAAGACTTCTTCGTAAATGTTTTGTCAAACATGAACGTACATGCTTTGTCGAAACTTCTTCGTAAATGTTTTGTCAAACATGAACGTAAATGTTTTGTCAAGACTTCTTCATCGTAATGAGCGTAAATGACCCAAAAATAATGTTTAGGGTAGAAGGTTAGATCTAACCTGTTTTCTAACCTCATTTCTAACCTCTTGAATTTTCATGAATTTTCCCGAAATAAAAAATAAAGTTAGTTTTATTTTGTATTTTTTTGTATAAAAGATATGATTTCAGGGATTTTTTTGACGAAGTGTTACTCTTCACTTCGTCAAAAAATAACAGTTATCTAATGAAAAAGTGTTATTTTTTGTATTTTTTTGTATGTTAGATATGATTTCAGGGATTTTTTTGACGAAGTGTTACTCTTCACTTCGTCAAAAAATAACAGTTATATAATGAAAAAGTGTCATTTTTTGTATTTTTTTGTATTTGACGAGAATGTTTAGGGTAGATGGTTAGATCTAACATGTTTTCTAACACGTTTTCTAACCTCTTGAATTTTCATGACTTCTTCATCGTAATGAGCGTAAATGTTTTGTCAAGACTTCATCGTAAATGTTTTGTCAAGACTTCTTCGTAAATGTTTTGTCATGACTTCTTCGTAAATGTTTTGTCATGACTTCTTCGTAAATGTTTTGTCATGACTTCTTCGTAAATGTTTTGTCATGACTTCTTCGTAAATGTTTTGTCATGACTTCTTCGTAAATGTTTTGTCATGACTTCTTCGTAAATGTTTTCTAACCTCATTTCTACCCTCTTGAATTTTCATGAATTTTCCCGAAATAAAAAAATAAAGTTAGTTTTATTTTTATTTATTTTTTTATTTTGTATGTAAGAACAGATATGTCAGTCGAAGCAAAAACGTTCACGAACAAATCTAATGGCGAAACATTCACAAAAGGCACTTATAACGGTATTGAAGTCTTACGTAGAGACAAGGATGGTTATATAAATGCAACAAATATGTGTCAGCAGTTTAGGAAAGACTTTAGAAAGTTGTTGGAAAATAAGTCCTGGGAAGAGTATTATAAGGCATTTTGTGAAGAATATAGCAACCGCCGGAATTCCGGCGGTTGGTTTTTATACAAAATTCATGCAGGAATTCCTGATGAAATCAGACAGGTTAGAGGAACGTATGTAGACCCAAGACTTATAAACTATATAACAATGTGGGCTTCTCCAAAATATTGCATAGCAGTTGGAAAAATTATGGACTCCATAGACAAGAAAGTTCATGAGAAATTAGATGAAGAAGAACTCGAAGATACAGTGGAGAATGCTAAACCTTTGTTCGAAGAAGAAGTTGGAAAAATGCATGAAAAACAATTAGAACATGAACGTGAGATATGTTATGGTTATAGAGACTCTCCATACGAACTAGACCAATGGGAACAAGAAGATTTAAAGAGAGAATTTAGAGAATATGAACTCGCTAAAATTTCATTAGAAGCTGCAGAAAAGAAGTTAAAAGTTTGGGGTCGTTTTGTACAAAAATATTGTGAGTAAATGAACCATTTATTTTTATTGAATTCAGCAAAAATAATGTTTAGGGTAGAAGGTTAGATCTAACCTGTTTTCTAACCTCTTTTCTACCCTCTTGAATTTTCATGAATTTTCATGAATTTTCATGAATTTTCCCGAAATAAAAATAAAGTTAGTTTTTTATAAAATATTTTTTTTATTTTGTATGTAAAGACAGATATGATTTCAACAATCGGCACAACAACAGTTCAAACAACAACAGCACCTAACTCGTTAGTCATGAATCCTACGTCAATGTTAGTAGAGATGAAAAGCTTCATTCCTTCTTCATATACTTTCGAAACAAAAATCCAGAAGATAAAGCAAGAACTGTTAACAAGTAATTTAGACTGTAGTGCGAAAGATGAAACAAATGAACAGTATCTTTATGAAATGCAGGACATTATTGACCATTTGCCTAAACTACCTGAAATTCAGCAACAAAAACTCACTATTCCTGAATTCGATGAAATTGAAGTCAAAGCAACTGACTCAGTAGAAATAAAGAAGTTCATACGAAAGGTAAACTATGAGTTTCTAGGATTTCATTGCAACCATAAGGTTATGGACAAAGATTGCGACATGGTATATAAGAACATCTCTGACATATATAAATCGGAGGAGTTAAAGACATACGACAACTTTGTTTCATTAGTTGCTGAATGTGTTTGGGAAATAAGAGATAAAGATAGAAGAGGCAAAGTATGGAATGAACAGATAAAACCAACTGCTTCAGATTTAAAGAAAACCATTGACGCTTTAGTTGTTTTAGCAGGTAAGGTTTCAGAATATAACGCAAAAATGAACCCGCAATGTTCTAAATGTAAAGCAGCAATTAGGAAATATAACTACTCCGTCAAAGAGATAGAAAGAATGCGAAACGACTATGCAGACTTAAAGAAAGAAGCAGAAAAGCCAGCAGAAGATAAAATGGACATGTTAGAATTTCTGAACAAAAACTATCCAACAGCAGAAGATTTCCTTCTATCTGACGTCAAGAAGAAGTATAAAGAAACTTTCGGCATAGTTAAAACATTCGATGTACTAAAAGAAGAAATAGAAGCTACAAAACTGTTTAAAGTCTCACGAATTCATAACGTTTACCATGTGAAACGCTTATAAAATAACTGGGGTAGAAAAGAGGTTAGAAAACAGGTTAGATCTAACCTTCTACCCTAAACATTATTTTTATTGAATTCAGCAACAAAATTCTGAGTAAAATAATTTTTAGGGCTTGTGTCAAACCGTTGAGTTTTCACAAAATTCCAAAAATAACGTTTACCATGTAAAACGCTTATGTTAGAAAAAATGTTATTTTCTAATATTCTAACATAAACATTATTTTTGAGGAAAAAAATGAAGGTTCTATACGGTTTCTAACCGTTAACAAGCTTGCCTTTTACATTCTGCCTGAGGAAGTCTTTAACAAGCTCGTTAATTTCAATTAGGTAAATTGCCTCGTCGGTAGGTTCGACTTCGACCATTGCTACTGACATTAGCAGTACTTTTACTGACAGTAGCAGTATTTTTACTGACAGTAGCAGTACTTTTACTGACAGTAGCAGTACTTTTACTGACAGTAGCAGTACTTTTACTGACAGTAGCAGTACTTTACTGACAGTAGCAGTACTTTTACTGACAGTAGCAGTATTTTTACTGACAGTAGCAGTACTTTTACTGACAGTAGCAGTACTTTTACTGACAGTAGCAGTACTTTTACTGACAGTAGCAGTATTTTTACTGACAGTAGCAGTACTTTTACTGACAGTAGCAGAGATTTTTATCGTCCAACTTTACAAATGTAAACTTATATCGTTCTATTTTCTTCACTAGGGTCTAACACCAAAGTAACCTTACAAATGTAAACTTATATCGTTCTATTTTCTTCACTAGGGTCTAACACCAAAGTAACCTATGTACATGAAATTTCACTGCATAAAAGGAAAAAAACCTGCGCGAATCAGGATTTGAACCGAGGTCTTCGACGCCTTTAACGAGGTAGCCCATACCACTGAGCTATGAGCCGCTTGCATATTTTTAAGTAAAATATAGTATATTTGTCATACCGTGAAGGATGACCAAACTTAAAAAAATAAAGTTAGTTTTATTTTATTTATTTTTTTTATTTTGTATGTAAAGACATATATGTCAAACATTGAGTTTGAAACAGTTAGAAAGATAGACAATAACACTAAATTGGTTAGAATAGGTGATTTAAACGTAAGATACTCAAAGAAATACAACAAATATTCTTTGTCAGACATTATATTTCCATCTGGAAAGAGACCGAAGGACTGGGTTAGAAATGCTTCAACTCAGAAAATTTTGACAAGAAATCCTGAGCTTATGATATCGGTAAGATTCTATGGAACTGCAGCATATCTCATCGACAAAAGTCTTATACCAATAGTTTTGTTATGGTTAGACCCAGTTGTTGGATATAACTTCATAACATATGGTTCATTCGATACGGAACGTTGCAGTGAAGGCTTACTTTACATCGTTCAGAAACCGAAGGACTTCAATACAAAAAGATATAAGATAGGAAGGACATATAATATAACTCAAAGATATGACAGTACAGTCAATAGAGTCAAGGTTGTGTTTGCTAATGATATGAGAGCTGCTGAAACAGAACTACTTGAAAAGTTTGAGAAAATGTATGGTGCTCCCATAAAAGGTAAAGAAACGTTTGAAGTAGATGAGATAGATAAAGCTATAAAATTATTTGACGAAGTTGCTGAAAAATACATGTAAAGCGTTTATTTTTGGTCTTTTGTGAAAGTCAGAAAATAAAGTTAGTGTCATTTTTTTGTATTTTTTTGTATAAAAGATATGATTTCAGGGATTTTTTTGACGAAGTGTTACTCTTCACTTCGTCAAAAAATAACAGTTATATAATGAAAAAGTGTCATTTTTTGTATTTTTTTGTATAAAAGATATGATTTCAGGGATTTTTTTGACGAAGTGTTACTCTTCACTTCGTCAAAAAATAACATATGGCACGTGTCAAACCGTTGAGTTTTCACAAAATTTAAAAAATAACGTTTACCATGTAAAACGTTTATAAAATAACTGGGGTAGAAAACAGGTTAGAAAACAGGTTAGATCTAACCTTCTACCCTAAACATTATTTTGGGTCATTTACGCTCATTACGAAGAAGTCTTGACAAAACATGTACGAAGAAGTCTTGACAAAACATTTACGAAGAAGTTTTGACAAAACATTTACGATGAAATCATGAAAATTCAAGAGGTTAGAAAACAGGTTAGAAAACAGGTTAGATCTAACCTTCTACCCTAAACATTATTTTTGTCTGATTTACGCTCATTACGAAGAAGTTTTGACAAAACATGTACGAAGAAATCATGACAAAACATGTACGAAGAAGTCTTGACAAAACATTTACGATGAAATCATGAAAATTCAAGAGGTTAGAAAACAGGTTAGAAAACAGGTTAGATCTAACCTTCTACCCTAAACATTATTTTTGCTGAATTCAGCAACAAAAATCATGAATTTCCTTAAGATAGAAAAAATAAAGTTAGTTTTATTTTTATTTATTTTTTTATTTTGTATGTAAAGACAGATATGTCAACAACAGAGAACACAACAACTGCTATCGTTCATGAAGCCATAAATGAAGAATATGAGTACATACAGTTTAACAAACAGTTACGTCTCATTCGTTCGGTCAAAGACGATATGTACCAGATGCAAAGTATTTTGACAGCATGTTTTGCTCCAGATACCAAACATACAGACGATTGGTTCAAAAACCAAAGCACACAAGAACTTTTGAGCGAAGCACAGCGAGACCGACTTTTTTCGGGGTCGCCTAAAACTCATGAAAATCGTAAAAATTTGCCAAATGGTTTGAGAGGTTGGTATGTACATAGACTTCTTGTAAATGCTGTTGCAATGTGGGCTTCGCCTCGTTATGCTTGGTATATTTACAGACTTCTTGACGAAATTCATAGACAAGAACGTGAAGAGATGGAAAACAAGCTTGAAGCAAAAGACAAAAGCATTCAGAAAAGAATACCACGTTCGGTACCAAAAGATAAGGAAAAGAACTATAAGTATATGATTTATACTGAAGAGTTGGAGAAAGAAGAAGACAGAGATATGGTTATGTTGCATTTAGTCAGAAGAAACAACAAAAGCTTTTACGACCTTGCTAAGATTTACAAATCTGACAGAAATTGGTTCTATCGCGAAAACTTACCGATTTCAATGACCCCAAATGAAGATGTGAAACAAATAGTTCAAGATACGTTACCTCAAACACACTATGATATGAAAGGTTGTACAATACTTACCTTCAAAGAAGACTTACCGCTACTGAAAGAAAAAATAACAGAGTATTTTGACAACTTCAAACAAGTAGGGTAGATGAACTCTTTATTTTTATTGACTTTTTACAATTTGAACTTTGTTTGCGTAGATATGAATTCTGAAAGAAGTATGAGGGTCTTGTATGACTTTATACTTCTCCCAGAGTTCATGTCTGTCAAACTTACCTGCTATGGACTCTTTCATAAGTTCCATGAAATCGTCTTCGGACAATCCGGGGAAAAGTATAATGTCAGTAAGTATTCTTTTAACATCCTTACTTAAACTCTTTGCTGTCTGTACACATATTACGACTGAGATGTTAAAGTGTCTGAGCTTCTTAAGAATTCGACACATATCTTGTTCTCTGTTCTTTAACAAAGGATGAGAGGCGAAATCATCTAAGATAAGA